AGTGCATGGGAAGTCCCTATGTACTATCTCGGCCTGCCTCCTGACTGCCTCCGACTGCCTGCAGTTGCAGGGCGGGCAGTCCAGGAGGCTGCTCTCGCCAATGCCGAACTGAGCCAGGGGCTGGCGCTGCAGCTGTCGTGGGAACAGGCCAAAAATAGCCTGTTCCTAAAACCCTGGTTGGGTGCCTGAGTTTCAGGGCAGGCCGGTCTGATGACAAGCCGGAAATGGCCCTTCGTTTCGGGCTAAAGAGGCTACTGCCATTTTTAGTCTGAAATGACACAGGGTCTGTAGGCCCCTGTTTTTCAGGCTTTCGAGCTGAATGGTCACGGGGCCTGTAGGCCCTGGTTTTCAGGCTTTCAGCGTGAGGGACGCAGGGCCTGGAAAATGGCCCTCGTGTGCAGGCGCAGCATGTAACACCCCCCCCTCCTTATGAAGTCAAGCCGGGGCGAGGGCGAAGCTGACGATCTGAAGGCGGAACCTGGACGCGGGCATGGCGTGGAGCCGAAGAGACCGGCTTGCCTTGCATCTTGCGTTCGTAGCGTGTGAGAACGTTCGGAGCTGTTGCTTGAAGTTCCGCACGGGTCAACCAACGGTCAGCTCGATGTGTGCAGTATGCAAAATGTACCAAGTACTCGGTTGGCCTGTTGCCGTAGCGTCGCTGGGAGATGATGTCGCCGACCTCCTGAAAACCGTCCATAGAGGGTGGGTCTTGCGAACGTCTCCCGGGAAAATCGTCATGTTCCGCTGGCGTGTAAAGAGCCAACTTGGAGCAATGAAAGACTGGGTAGACGGGCAAGTGGGCGGGCGCCTGAATAGTGAAGGAAGGTCCCTCGGGTGCATCCCCAGCGGGTGCCACGATCGGCCAAGGCCCCATCCATTTCGGGAGGAGCTTGCGAGAGATATCTTGTTCAAGGCTGAATTCCCCGGCGGAGACCCAAACGAGATCGTCGGCGCGGAATGGGCAAGGAAGACGCTGGCGATTGGCCTGTTGGCTCATGCGTTGCTGCGTCTTGGCCATCTGGTCCCGTGCCTTGACAAGTAGCTCTTGCATCCGACGCAAGAAAAGAAGATGGTCGTCGCTTTCGGCCATTCGTGGAGTGATGGTGTCCATCGGCGAAGTGACCGGCGAGCCGTGCTCGAACTTGAAAGGCGACATCCCGATAGCTGGGTGGATGGAGGAGTTGTAGGCCAACTCGACATCCGGCAGCCGCTCAACCCAATCCTTCTGGTCAGGACGGATGAGAGTGCGAAGGAGAACCTGTGCGGTCTGGTGCGCCCTCTCCGTTTGGCCATCGGTCTGGGGTTGGCGAGCTGAACTGGGCTTGAGAGATGAGCCCCATCGTTTGATGAGCGCCAACCAAAGATCGGACATGAACCGAGTCTCGCGGTTGCAGACGATTTCCTTGGGGTAACCCTTGGTTCGAATCCAACCGGCGTAAAGAACCTTGGCCAACTCCGGTGCCTTAGCATGATAGCGGCAAGGCAAAAACATGGCGAACTTGGTGAGTCGGTCGACCACCGTGAGAATCCCATCCACGCCGGTCTTATGCTTGGGGAACGGGCCGGTAATGTCCATGGCAATCGCTTCCCTTCGCCTCAAAGGGACCGGTAATGGTCGTAACTCGCCGTAGGGACGATGGTTGCGGGATTTGCAGCGTCGGCAAACCTCGCATGACTCGCAATAGCGTGTGACGTCGCCGAGAAGGCCGGGCCACAAAAATCGCTCGCGAAGTCGGCCAATCGTGCGATTGACTCCAAAGTGTCCGGTGGCGGGAGCATCGTGGAACTTGCCAAGAAGCCGTGTGCGCAAGTGAGGATCACTCGGTACGCAAAGAAGGTCCTTCCCCCGTGTGTGGACAAGCAAGTACCCCTCTTGGATCCGGTAGTGAGAAGGCGCCGGATTAGGAGAGGAGCAATTCACGTTCTTGTCGCGAAACTCGGGGTCGGCTTGGTAGTCGCGGATGAAGCTGTTCCGCAGGTCGTCGTCGATCTCGAAGGTTGAGTAGACCGCGGTACAATGATCCGGACGCCGTGAAAGAGCATCCGCAAAACGGTTCGACTTCCCGGGAATGTGATCGGGAAAGAAGTCGAGTTGGTCGATGAAAGCCATCCATCGAGCGATGGTGCTGTTGACGGTGTCTTGGGTCTTATAGAAGACCAACGGATTGTTGTCCGTTACCCATCGGAATTGGCTTCGACCAAGGAGGAAGTGTCGCCACCGCTTCAGCACGTGGACGAAGGCGAGGAGCTCCTTCTTGCGTGCATCGTCAATGGAATGCACGATGGGCACTTTCTTACTGAAATACTCGACCGGGTGCCAGTCCACACCATCATGTTGCTCGAGGACGGCACCAATGCCATAGTCGGACGCATCCGTAGTGACGCGCCTAGGCAAAAGCGGGTCGTATATGCGCAAGACCTCCGCAGATAATAGCGCGGCTTTGAAAGCCAAAAATGATTCCCGCGCCTCCTGTCCGAAGTCAAACGGCCGATCCTCGCATTGAAACTTGGTCAAGTGGGCCGCGATCTTTGAGTAGCCTTTGATGAAACGATGATAGTAGCCGGCGAGGCCAAGGAATGAACGGACATCCGTGACGTTTCGAGGCTCCGACCACTCTTGGATGGCTTGAATCTTGTCCGATAGTGGACTGATGCCCTTCGGTGTGACAAAATGGCCCAAGTATTCCAACTCTTGCTGGACAAATTCGCACTTGTCGTGGTTGGCCTTGTACTTGGCACGGCGGAGCGTCTCCAACACTCGTCGAAGATGCCCAAGATGATCCTGCAATGTCCGACTATAGACGAGAATATCGTCTAAGTAGACCAGCACGAACCGGTCCATAATTGCACGGAACTCGTTGGTCATTGCCGCTTGAAAGGTCGTCGGGGCGTTGGTGAGGCCAAGAGGCATGACCACCCACTCAAAATGCCCGTAACGCGTCTTGAACGCGGATTTGTAGCGATCGTTCGGCCGAATCGAGATTTGCTGATATCCCGACTTCAAATCCAACTTAGAAAAATACTTTGCGCCGCCCAATCGCTCAAGAAGATCGTCGATGCGAGGAAGAGGCCCCGCATTCTTGACGGTTTGCGCGTTGAGCTTGCGGTAGTCGATACACAATCGTAGATCCTTGTTCTTCTTCCGGACGAAGAGAACTGGTGCTCCTAATGGGGATCTACTAGGGCGGATCCAACCCTTGGCCAACAAGTTGTTGAGTTGTGAGAGGAGGACGTCAAGCTCCTCCTTGCTCATCCGATAGATGCAACCTTTCGGCGGCACGGCGCCGGCCTCAAAAATGATCTCGTGAGAGATCGGTCGGTCTGGCACCACACCGGTAGGTGACTCGAGGATGTCGGCGAACTCGTCCAGCAACCGCACGACTTGGGGGTCCGAAGACAAATCCGTGGGTGAAGAGTCGGCTACCGCGACGGTCCGTAGGAAACATAGGCCGATTTTCTCGGGTTGCTCGTAAGCGCAAGTCGCCCGGAATGATTTGGCCGTCACCACTTGGCACAATCGAAGGGTGCGAAAGAGGAATAGTACACGCCACTTCGGCGTCGAAGGTGTCGCGAAAGCTAAGAGTCCACCGGTGGAAGTTGACTGTGTGATCCGCACTCGCAAGCCAAGGAATTCCCAGAATGATGTCGAAGTCCGTGTCCAAAATGTCGAACATCACCAGTTCACATGCATGAGGTGTGAAATACACCGGTACGACGTCGATGTAACGGTCGAGGAGTTGCTGCGTCTTTCCATCCGCCAACTTGATCGTCGTCGGGTTTGCCTTCCTTCGAACTTGTGCGCCAAGGCCAGCCCTTTGCATAAAGGCTTGGCTCATGAAATTGCGAGACGCGCCGCTATCCAGCAAAGCGCTGCAGGACGCTTGCCCAACCTGGATGCGGACATACATGAGCGGTGCGTTATTGTCATCGTACCACTGCGTGCGAAACTCGCGGGCCACCTTGGTAACATACGCAAGGATGTCCCCCACCGTGACTCCGTCATCCGTCGGCGAAGTTGGTGGTGCATAGAAGGATAAGTATGTGTGGAGATGAGCGCATAGTGTTGCGCATTGCGGTCCTGGCAGGCGGCCCGTGGTCGGGAGAGGAAGCCATGCGAAGTCCTCGGACGTGAGCGGGTCCAATACCTCTATGTTGAACTCGCGCGCCGAATCCCGTGAAGAACCACTTGAAGACGATTAGTCGCCGTTGCTGGACGGAGAAGATGCCGCACACACGTCTTGTCCTTGAGCTTGAGTACCCAGCGTAGGAACGAGCCGGGCAGCATAGTCCTCAAAAAAATACAGAAGAGGAGGACTATCGACTTTCGCATGTGCCTTGGAACGAACGGCGGTCACCCGCGACGCGACCGGTTCCGAAGGCGTCGAGAGTATCGTTGAGTCACTCTCGCCGGTGCTCAGTTTCCCGATTTGCCCTTGCCTTTCAACGGGCAGGCCAGTGTCTCATGGAGATCGCTGTTGCACCATAGGCAATAGTGGAATCTCATGCGCGCTTTGAATGCTTGCTCGGAGATGTCGTATTGGGACCATGGGGCTGAAGCTGTTGCGCCCGGCCCGGGGCTAGATGCGGTGTTTGTCTTCGTCTTTCCGCGTCCTCGGCCTTTGCTGGGGCGGCCACCTTCCCGGGTGGCTGCGAGTCTGTTCCCTTCATTGGCAGACACAGTCTCGCTAGTTTGGTCAAACGACGTTGCCGCCGCGACCACGGCCACTCTTGCCCGATGCTGGTCTCTGATCGGGCCTGGCGCAGACAAACGCAGGTTCTTAGCCTCCTTGTTCGTGATGATAATATGCGCGGCCTTGTCAAAAAGTTCTGCCGTTGTCGTCAAGGTGTCCTCGACGTGAGTCAGGGCATTGCTTAATGTCGGACACGACCTTGAGATGAAATAGTGGTGGATGGCTTTGAAGCCCATTTGGATGTTTGGGACTGATGTCAAGCGTTGGTACTCGGCAATCCAGTCGACACTGGGCAGCGTGCCTTGTTCGAAGACCATTAGCTTGTCAATGCCTTGATCTCCGGCGACTCTACTTGGAACCGCTTGTGCCACGCCGCCTTCAGATCATCCCAGCTGATCTTGGTATGCAAGTCTGCAGCTACTACTCCGTACTTGGACAAGAGATTGTCCAACCATGCCTGGCACGCGCCCCCGGACCGGGAGTATAAGTAGCGTGGTGCTTGTGTTCTTTGACGTAGTGTAGCTGCAGCGTGAGCTCGAACTTGCGGAACCATGGAATCGGATTTGTCTTCGTCGAGTCGCAGAAGATCTCCTGCCCGTCCAACTTTGGAGCTGTCTTGCGCGGTTCCGAACTCAAGTTGTTGGCGGTAGTACAGATCCGCTGCTCCAACTGTTGCGTTGAGGTCTGCTGTAACTGCATGCCGTCCTTGAGGGAGCCGACGTCCATCTCCAATGCTTCGAGCCGATCGGAGGTGTTGGAAGAGTTGGCATCGGGGGCGGTGACAGGTCGCTGCTCCAGCTGCCGGAGGCGGCCGTGGACTCGAGTCAGCGCGTCGTCGAGGCTGTGGATGTCCTCCTGCTTTGTAATGCATGTTGCCAGGAGGTCCGTGCGATGGGAGAGGAACTCGTTCTTCATCAGCAGCCTTTGCTGCTGCCTCGTCGTGCTGGCGCTGCTGTTCAATTGCCAGCAGACGTGCCTGCTCGGCGTCCTCTGCCTTCTTCTTCGTTGCTGTTGCTGCGTCATCCGCCCGTCTCTTGGTTTCGGTACTCCAGGCCAGCATCCGGGCCTGATAGGCCTCGTCTGATTCCCCGGACCTTTGGTCCATGACGGCTGTTTGTGAACGCAACAGCATAGACCAGGCCGGGGGCCTGCTGACGTGGTATTCCCTGCTGCTGACGTGTCCTGCTGACGTGTCCTGCTGACGTGGTCTGCTGGCATGTCCTGCTGACGTAGTCTGCTGACGTGGCCTGCTGATGTGGCAACTCACCAATGCCGCCGCAGGGGGTACCCGGAGACAGATAGAGAAGGTAAAAGACCAGAGGGGGCAACAGCATAGGTGGGAGGGGTGGGTGGGATAATCGCCCAGATAACGCCCAGATAAGGAGCAACTGATCAAAAAAGAGAAATTTAAACTTTGCAAAAAAATAAAAAATCCCGAGTTTTGCAAGTTCAATAGGTCTCCCAACCACCCTTGAAGTGTGAAACTATCAATGAGAAAATTTTTTTGAACTTCAGACTGCAAATGATTTATAGAACTGACTAACAAAATCCTAGAACTGCGAAAATATTCGGACTTACTCAGATGAGAGTATTCGCAGTTTGGAAAATAATACCCGCAGGAGGGATTTCCCGTACCGTTTTCAGAAAAACGAATTTCGAAAAAAAATATTCCGAATTTGTAAGTGACAGGAAATGCAACAGGAAATCGAAATTTTCGAAAAGATAATCCGGATTTCCAACAACGAAATTTAGGATTTTCAGAAGAAAAACGAATCGGAAATTTCAGATGTTGTGCTATTGCGATTTTCCACAACAGAAATAGCAAGAAAACAAATCCCAAGAAAAAAGGGAAAAAAATCGATTTTCCGCAGCGAGGTCAAAATCGTGATTTTGGGGGCTAACTAGTGAGCTCTAATCAATCAATCAAGACTAATCAGCAACCTAGTCCCCGTATACGTGTCAGATCAGGTTGTCCTGATTCACGTGCGGCGTTCCGATACCAACTGTTACATGCCCAGTTGGGCGATGTACATATAAACCGAGGATCCGCAATGTGATAAAAAGGACTGAATGGGCAACGCAGTGCAAGTAGAATCTCAACAAGCAATGTGCATACCGATGCATACAAAATGGTGCTTGATAGCGCAGGGAAGACTTGGATACAAGACCTGACCTGATCGAGACTGACCTTTATCACGTAATACAAGATAGCGAAGTAGAGTGCTAGAATGCTAATGACTAGCCCAATCAATGTTTCAACACAGACCAAACATACATCATGCTCATCACAAGGTGTGAAGGAGCCTGGCACTATACATAGGAAGGAAGCGCCAGGTCCAGACATACACAGAGGAAGAGGAGGGGATCAGACGAAGAAGAGGGGGAGAGATGGGAATGTCGTCAACACCAAGTCTTTATCACAAGTCCCAAATAATCCCTCATCGAAATGTCTGAAGCCCAAAAGTCGAGTCTGGATCCAATGTCACCAAGCTCTCTCTCTCTCTCTCTTCTCTCGTAGTCTGCTGAT